ATATGTATGTGGATATAGATGAAAATGAGGCAGGTTTTATTGAATATTTTCTTTATACACACACACACTTTATTTTTTAACTGTGTAACTGCCAATTTGAAAATTAGATTATTTTAAAAGAGGGACAGACTACCATAGGATCTAAGCAGCACTTCTGGATATTTAATCAAAGGAAATAAAAAACATTAATTCAAAAAATTTGTTTCCACTCCTATGTTTATTGCAGTATTACTTAAAATAGTCAAGAAAAAAAAAAGTCAAGATACAGAAGCAACATGTGTCCATGGATGTATGAATGGATAAAGAATATGTGTCCAACATATAACATTCAGCCATAAAAAAAAAGATCTTACCATTTACAATAACATGAATAGATACTGAGAGCATTATGCTAAGTTAAATAACTCAGAGAGAAAAAGAAATACCACATTTATTCACTAATCTAACACAAGCTCAAGGTTACAGAGAACAGATTGGTTTCCAGAGACTGTGAGTTGATAAAATAGGTGAGAGATGGTAAAAAGGTACAGACTTTCACCTATAAAATAACTCAAAGGGAAGATTGCACTTTCACTGATGCCTAGTCAAGACAGAAGTTTTCTTCTATTGGAATATACTCAGTTATGGAACATGTATAATGATAATATATCTTTTTAATGACAATTATGTAAAATATAATTTGACATCAGAACTCCTGATATAAGGTATAAAATTCCCACAGTATTACAAATGGTAAGCTTGTGTATGAAGTCACATGCTTTATGCATCCCACTTAATGATAGGAAAAAGTTAATTTTACTTAACCTTGCTAGAGAAAAGACTAGCATCATCTATTCACTGCATAGGAGATAGTACAAAATCATTGTATGAAAAGGCATTCAAAGAATACATAAGAAGAAAAATAATATTATAGGCATGTCAGGCAGTGTATTAATTAGGATAATGTTATTTTTCTAAGTTTTGATGTGTCAATGTTACAGAAACAGGAAGATTGATGCTAGCAACAGTGGAAGAGGAGAGAAGAAATATTGATTTTTCTGTAAATGTAAAAGGAGTTTTTGTAACACACAACATCAAACAGCTTACAAGTCACACTGGGATAATATTCATCAGACATTAATAACAACATTCTCAATGGCAGAATTTTAGGTGATTTTATTCTTTTCTGTAATTCTTTGTACATCATATTTCAAGAAGACAATAATCATTAGATTATTTTAGAGCCTTGTAGGTAGGGCTAGTCACCAAAGTCTTAAATCAGCTACTGAAATAGCTCTACCTCATTGCTTCTCTCAACTATCACACAAGTGGATTTCATTCATCTTGAGCTTGAGTTTATGTAAAAACTCAGCTTCAAGCTCAGCAAAACTAAGGGCCCTCCACCTGGCAAGATGTACCTTCCTTAGGTGACAGTTTAAGTGACAAGTCCCCTTTTCCATAAACAAAATGACTTCTTCAAAATGAATTCTGTTGATTGAAATAGCTCCACTTTCTATCAGAAAGAATAGTCTCATCACAGACATTCAAAAATGGAATGGTCTTAGTTCCAAGTCCCAAGTTCAATTTTCAATTGAACATAGAAGAATGCACAGATATTAAAAAAAAAAAATGGTTTGGTCCTAGCTAGACAGTTTGACTACATAACTTCTAAGATTTTGCAGATCTTATGAGAACATCTCTCACTCAAGGGGTCTAATCGAGTCCTGCATTTCACTTCCAACTATTCTGAGGACATCAGGAGCTTTTTGAATCAAGCCATTAGGTCTGTCTGCGTAGTGTAGACTCTTACTGCATTAGTGGATATGAGCTAGTTTTGAATTACCTGCCAGTTAGCGTTCTAAGTACAAAACAGGATAAATTAACTCCTGGAATCCTCAAAAGCAACCCTATGAGATAGATGTTGATATGATTACTCCCAGGTTAACTGAGGCTTACAGGAATTGAGGAATTTGCTCAAGGTGAGTGGATTATTTGTGGTAGGGCTGGGATTTGAATCCAGCCAGTCTGTCTCCAGAGTTAGCCTTAACTACCATCAACTTGCCTCTCACATTATAGAGATTTGAAAGGGCTCCAGTTCTGAACACAGATCTTTGCAGTATTTTTGGCCTAGTTCTGGCCTGCTGGGAGTTTGATGGGCTGAGACAATCCAAGCCAATTCAATCACAGGACTTATTAACAGCCAAGGTATGCCTTTGCAGCCAGCATTTGGAAGTCAAAGCAGAGAGTAAGAGTAGGATAGTCAAGTTCAGACAGGGTGTTGAGTGATTACAGAGTACTTCATTCTTGTTTTTTGGGGTTTTTTTTGCCATGAAAAAGTTCTTAAAAGACAACCAGCCCAACCACTCTTTGGTGCCATGTATGTGATAGGGAACTGGGTGGGAAGGTTGTTTTTTTTCTTCCTTATTTGGACCCCCTCACTAAACTACAGACAAGAGGGTCCCTGCATCCCACTTCCCCTTTTCCTGTGTTCTCATCCTCCGCACCAGCATCCCCAACTCTGTTTTGTGCAACACCAAATTCATCAGCATCACTGACCTTCATACAGTGGTAAACACCTCCCCTGGAACCTTACTTTCATTCCAATTCGATGAGATTAAATCTCCCTGAACAGCATTAGGGTTTATTTTATTAACAATTTATTTTTATAGCTCCTGTAATTTAACTAAAAAAATTATTTTCAGGCTGCAAAACAGGCCTCTGCTGCTAATTAGAGTCCATGTATCTGTCCTGAAAAGTACACATCATTCAAAAAAGTTATTACTAAAGGTACTGCTGGGGTCTATGATAAATAGCATTAGATATTTATCCCCAATAAAGTATTACCCAAGCTCAGTGACATAGAGAAGAGTGGGCGGTGGGAGGATATCTGTCTTCAGTCAATTCTATTTTTTTTCCAGGCCGGGCCCCTGTGCTGGGCTTTTTGGGTTGGGGTTCCCACAGCTGGACTTCAGCTGGGCCTCCCTATTCCAGCTGGCTGTTGCCTTTCGTCCAAGCCTTGCCCTCTGCTTCCAAGGGTGTCACATGGGCTGATGAGATAATGTATGTGAAAGCCTTTGTCAAGGGCAAGGCACGGTTGAATGCCAATGATTACTGTTGTTATTATTCTTATCATACTCCAGGGAAACCCTATTGCCCCCCACCCCTCCCAGACCTACTCAGCAGGACAGCCCGGGAAACAGTGAGGCTAGACCGCCCCTCCCATGTGGGCGGAGGTTCCTGGAGAAATCCTTCCACCCAGCTAGGAGAAGAGGCCTTAATGCTACCCTCCGCCCGCCCCCTCCCCTCAGTAATGACTTTCCCAGTTCTTCCTGGCTGCAGGGGTCTTCCTCCGGAAGGAAATCTCCTCAGTCCAGTGAAAGTTCTCGAGCTGCTGAAATCACTGACTCCTGGGGCCTCACCCCACGCCCACCCCCTCCCCTCTGAGTGCCCGCGATGGAGCCAGGCTGCCCCGGAAGGATCTGACCGGCAATTTCCTAGAATTGTCTTACTGGAGCTCCTCAGTCCTTCAGCTACCGGCCCCCCTCCACCTCATCTCCTAGTCTCCACTCCCCAAAGGCCCGGACTCTCTAGATATCCCAGCCCCCACCCCGATCTAGCTTCTAAGGCCCCACAGTTCTTTTTAACACATTATCCACTCTGGACTGAAGCTGTCCCTGATACTAGGAACTGGGACCTGGAAGCCAGCCTCCAGCCTGGCCACCAGGGCCCACCAGGAAGTTAAGTATGCTGTGGTCACCAGGGCAACCATCCTCTGTTAGGCCTTCCCAGAGTTATTCATCCCCTGTTCCGACCCACCAGAAGGTGAAGACTTGAAAGGTCAAGCGCCCTCTTCCAATAAATCAAATCTGATTGACTGCAAAATGGGTGGGTAGGGAGACAGCTCATCAGAAAGAGACACTGGACAAGAGAACAATGTGTCCTTTCTTTACTCCTAGACCACCGCCCTGTGTGTCAGGGAACAGCACCCCAAGGCACACCTCCAGCTCCCCAGAGCCCACCCCAGCCTCCAGGTCCCACAGGGTGTGGACTCCAGGAAGGGGCTGGGAGGTGGGAGGAGGCTGTCCGCACTTGATGGATGGCACTGGAGAAATGTCTGGCACTCTCTTTCCCCAGGAGGGAGGTGAAACTGCAGCCACCTCTCCCCCGCATTTGCATTCCAGCCTGCCAGCTCAGGAAGGGGGTGGGGTGGGTGGCTGGAGCCGGGAAAGGAGGGCCCTCAGCCCAGATTAGGGGCATTTTACAAACTATCACTCTCATTTGTCCAGGCTGGCATGGGAATGGAGGGGCAGGTGGACAATCCCCTCAACTGAGCTAAAACAGTTGGTTATTCCCCATCCTTCTTTCCTGGCTCCTGGGCACCCAGGGCAGGAGATGCCAGGGCTCTCTCCATTCAACTCACTCATTATGTTCCTACTGTATGCCAGGCATTGGGTAAGAGAACAGTTCTCCAAGTATGGTTCACAGGCCAGGAGACCTAAGAACCTTTCAGGGGTGGATGAGGTCCAAATGATTTTCCTGATTACACCAATACATTATTTTGCCTTACTGACTGGTTGACATTTGCACTAATGGTGCCAAAGCAATGTGGGTGGGAGGCTGGCGGTAGAGATGGTGGTAAAACTGCCAGTATCTTAGCATAAATCAAGGCAGTGGCAGCCAAGTAGCCACTGTGTCCTTCATTATTACTCACTGGCTACTTTAAATGCATTAGTAAGGATTTGTTTTCATTTCCAATATGGCATATAGCAATAGGTGTAACCCACATAAGCAAAGCTCTTTGGGCCTTAAATCATTCTTTAATGGTATAAACTGGTCCTTGGATCAAAAGTGTCAGTAAGGCTAAAGTAATGCACAGGCTGTTACCTAGGTGCCCCCAAACCTAGGGAGGAACTATGGACCTTTTCAGAGACTACTTTCTGTCGCCTTTGAAGTAGAAGTGGGAGAAGATGGCTGTGTTTTCCAGCAACCCTCTCCCTCAAGAAGAGACACTGTCACTGGAATAAAGACTTTAATGGTCTCTGCTCACAGGAGAAGCAGGCACACAGGCCCAGTGCCACTGTGCCACTCTTCTCCCTGTGCCAGCGCTGTATCCAGCGTTGGGTATAGAGGACAGTGGTCTGCTTGTGGCCTGTGTGGACTCCCCCACTCTCTAGATTCACCCTCAAGTCCCTTTTACCATTCCCCCAAAGGGGGCTCTTCCCCCCCCCCAAAGAAGTCACAGTGTAGGAGGCTGAGGGCACCAGGAGGGGCAGAAAAAGGGCCAGGAGGATCCAGGAATCCATACCCCAGCCTGGCTCGAGTCAGGGTAGAGGAGGTGCCTATGCCTGGGTTGTGCCACTGAGTGCTTTGGTCCAGTCCTGGCAACGCCAAGTTCTCCCCACACCAGTCCTCTTTCAGAGGTAAGTATCTGGAGTCAGCACACCTGAGCTGCTCAAACCACATCTCTGATCCTTTGGCAATGTTGGGGCTACTGTGGGTGAGGCTGAGGTGTAGCACAGGGAAGGAGGTGTAGAAGGCCAGGACTGGAAGCAGGTCAACCTCGAGTGCTGCTACCTCGCTCCCCCAGGAGCCAGTAGGTTCGAATTTTGCCTTTGCCCTGGAGGGAAAAGGAAGGGGAAATTGAGGAGGCGGCTGGGGTTGGGGGTGGCCTAAGATGGAAATGGGTTGGTGGCTTGGGAAGGGGCCCAGAGGGTAGAGGCTTCCTACTCTACCTTCATTTCAACATCCCCTCGAAGCTCCAGGTCAAAACCACCAAACTCCTCCAGGACTGCCTTGGTCTCAGAAGATAAGTGGATCTTCAGGGCTGGGCAGGATAAAGGAGAAGAAAGAAAGGTGAAGGAAGCCAGAGTTGGGAGTGGGTGAAATCAGGAACTGTAGGGGTAGAAAGATGTCCCCCTACCCCCAACCCCTTATGGACTAGGGAGCTTCCCGATGCAAAGTCCTGCCCCTCCTCTTGAAGCCTGTAGGCCGCTCCCTGACCTCTGCAGCCCTGTCACTCAAGGGGTAGCTTTTTGGGATGACAGGGCTAGGCACAAGTGACTATTAAATGTAAGTGATTATCAGTTAAATGCCTCCTCTGCTGCACAATCACCTTGCAAGTGATCAATGCCCCTGTGAAAGAGTCCACCGTGTTGGGCCTGCAGATTACAGAACACTTTCATCAGTACAGCAGTAAGTTCATATGGATAGTCCTAACAAGAGCATCACCAGGCTCCCCAACATCATAGAGGTTAAGAGCTCTGTCTTGAAAAAATCCTAGTGTGAATGTTTGCTGGGGAAGTAATCTAAACTCTCAATGCCTCTCTTTCCCTAGTCTGTAAAATGCAGATAGCAACAGCACCCATCTCAAAGTCTTGTTGTGAGGATTAAATTTAACATTCGTAAAATACTGTGACAGAGCCTGGCACTTCAGAAGTGCTGTACTCACGTATTGCTCTCACTGCTCTTTAACCCAACACCCTCATTTTACGACTGAGGGAGCTGAGACTTAGGAGACCTCTCCCCAAGCTGCTGAGGTCAGACCGGGGCCTCCCAGCTCCTGGACCCCGCATTCCCTACCCCCTGGTTTGGGGTTTGGCCTCCCTCTAAGCCGAGCCCTATGTTCCTGGGGTCTGCATCAAGCAGCCTGTACTAAACCATTTCTGAGGATGTGCTCCTTGAACAATGGGCCCTAAGAAGGGGCTTTCTCCTAACCAGACAGCCCTGAATACAGAAACCCAGGAGCATCTGCCGAACCAGGCCCCCTGTGGGCTCCCAAGTAGCTCTCCCCCCTGAGGTGTCCACAAGGGTCTGTTTATCTGGATGGTCTTAGTACCCCAGGGCCTGGTGCTCCCTACAGTGACTCAATGTTTACTGAATTGAATTGTGTTGAATACAGCAAAGAGGATAGATCCACAGGAAGCAAGACCGATAAAAACCTGAAGCTCAGGAAAGATGAATGACAGTTCCATCAGTCAGATTATATGTTGTTTTCAACATAACCCTGATGAGGAAGATCTATCATTTTACAGGTGAGGGAAACTGAGGCAGGGAGCTTGACACAACTGTGTTGACAGTGGAGCTGAGATACACAGCAAGGGTTACTCTGAAGTCCTTTTCCCACACCGAAGAGAGAGCAGGGGGCTCTTCGAGGGGTTTCCTGCTGGGAAATACTGCTCCAGAAATACTGCTCCAGAAAGGCTGCTCCGTCATTTGGCAAGATGGGACAGCAGGGACCCCAGTCTGATTAGATCTGAGGGGATCTGCCCGTGGGTCCTTTAGGAGAAGGAAGCCTGGGAGCAACTGGGCCGGGTGGGATGGGCACTAGTGGCTTAGCTAGAAGACTCCCCACTTACAGCGACCCCTCTCTCCTCATCCCGTCTAGGAGAGACACTCTACCTTCTCCGTTAGACTCCATTCTCGAGGCCGTGTTGACCGTGTCCCCAAAGAGACAGTAGCGCGGCATCTTGAGCCCCACCACACCGGCACACACCGGCCCTGGAGGGAGGCAGCCCTTTAGCGAGGGGAGGGGACCTGGGGGCGCGCTCCCGGACGGCCGGCCCACACCTCGGCGGCCTCACCTGTGTGGATGCCTACGCGTAAGCGCAGCTGCTCCTCCGGCCGGTGGCGGATGCGGAAGGAGCGCACGGCCTCCAGGAGCGCCAGGGCCATGCGAGCCACCTCGCGGGCGTGCAGCCGCCCGTTGCGCACCGGGAGACCCGACACCACCATGTAGGCGTCGCCGATCGTCTCCACCTGGAGCAGGCGGAAGAGTGCGGGGCTGGCGCGGGGGGGCGTGAGGCCCCAACTCTCTTCCCGGGTCTCCAGCCTCGACCTCTGCTCCTCCCCCGCCCCGCCCGCCCTGCGCCTTTTCTCCCCCATTCCCGGAGTCTCTCTGTGACCGTCTCTGCCAGTGTCCCTTGGACTCCTTTACTCCTTTACCTCCTCTGCCACTTCACCCTTCACTTTTTTCTGGTGTCCATCTGTCTGTACTTTCCCATCCTCACCTTGTACACGTCAAAGTTGTCAATCACAGCGTCAAAGCAAGTGTACAGGTCATTAAGCAGGGTCACCACCTGGACAGAAAAGGACTCAGTGGGGAATGCAGAGCCAGAAGGCAGGCTGACTGATGTCTCCTGCCTGCTCCGACCCCCGGGGGGCACCCCACCTTACTTGCATGGGGGTGCTCTCTGCTGACAGTGCTGTGAAACCCACAATGTCACTGAAGTAGATGGTAACGCTGTCAAAGGCTTCTGCTTGAACTGTCTCCCCACGTTTCAGTTGCTCAGCCACAGAGCTGTGGGGTCAGGGACAGTGAGGGGTGGACAGAAGGTGGGGTGGGGCTGGGAAAGGGTTAGCTGAAGGGGAGGGGCACTTACTGTGGCAGGATCTGGTAGAGCAGGGCCTCGGCCTTGCGCTTCTCCTCCAGGTAGGCCTGGGTGCGCTCCTCCACCAGTTCCTCCAGGTTGTTGGCATACTGCTCCATGCGGGACAGCAGGTTGTCCAGGATGTTGCTGCTGTTCTCTCTGGGGGAGAAGGGCTGGTTAAGGTAGGGGTGGTGAGAGGGGACCAGCACCCTGGACTGAAGTGCCCATCCAGGCTTCAAGTCAGCCTACCCTACCCCTTTCTCCACTGGGCTCCCTGAGAGGGTCAGGTTAGGGTCACGGCAGGGTGAGGATGGCAGGGGAAAGGAGTGGGGGGAAGTTCAGTTCATCCAGGAGACCCCAGGGTCAAGTATGAAGCTTCAGGTGTATCTGGATATTGTGCTCATTTTTGTCTCACATGAGCAAGTTGGAAGGAGAAAGAGGAAGTGGGAGGGACATTGAGAACAGTGAGGGCACACAGCCAGCTGAGGGTATATCTGGAGGAACTGGGCTCTGGGGTCCCCACTGGGAAAAAGAGATGAAAGGGCTGTGATGGCACCCCTTGTGAGGGGCACAGACACAGATGGGGGGCCAAGTAGGAGGTCCCTTTACTCTGCGTACCACTGAAGACTAAGGGGCTGGATAGGAGGTATTAGGGGAGGTACCGCAGAGGAGAGGGGTGTGAGAAGTGGGGGACTCTGAGGGCAGCTGGGTCAGTTTCATAAAGGTGGGCGTGAGGCTAGGGTGGGCTGGATGGGTTCTGCATGGCGCCTGTGAAGGGATCCCCTCTGCCACTCAGGGTAAGGATTAATAATGGGTCTAGGGTGGCTCTGAGGGGAAGAGGGGGTAGCAGGGGGGGGGGCCTGGACAGGCGACCTGTTGAATTTGCGCAGCAGCAGGCGGATCTGCTGGAAAGGCGGCCGCTCCTGTGGGTCCTCAGCCCAGCAGCGCTGCATCAGCTGCCCGAGCTCCTCCAGGTGACTCTGCAGGGCCAGGGAGGGCCGGAAGGGGGGCTGCTCTCCCCGGGTCACACGCTCAATGATTTCTATGGGGGGGGGAAGGGACTGAAGGCTGGAGTCGACAAAGGAAATTCAGGACCAGGGCAGGGGACCCTGAGGGTGCAGGACCACTCCTGCATCGGATGCCCCTGATGGCCCAGGGTTCCAGGTGGTGGCTGAGCCACGTGAAGACAGTTGGGTCAGTTTTCATGACATTGGAAGTGAGGTTAGGGTGGGTTATGAATGGAGCCTGTGAGGGGGTTCACATTCCAGTGGGAAGGTGTGTCTTTCCAGGGTGCTTCTCTCCTGGATGGGGGCTAGGTGGAACTGTGGTGGGGCACTCACCTTTAGGGCTGAGGTCCAGACCTTCCACGTGGAAGACTCCACTCCTCAGGGCAATCTCCTGCAGGATGATCCCAAAGCTGTAGATGTCACCTGCCTGGGAGCCCCGCGCTGGAGGCGAGGCCATCCGCAGGAGTTCAGGGGCCGTCCACAGCTTTTCTATGAATCAGAAAAGTCACAGGATGAAGGGCTCCAAATCTACAGACAGAGGGGAAATGAAGCCCTAGAGGATGTGGCCCCATTCAGGGGCCATCACACCCGGAGCTGGAGCTAGAGGAGGCCTCCAGGCTGCTGGGGTGGCTTCCCTTTACTGACGGCCCCACAGAGGCCAGGCAGTAGTCTCCATACTGGCCTGTGCTGGTGTGTGCGGGTCAGAGTGGGGCTCACTGGCATAGAGGGTGTGTCCTTGCTCAGGCTCCGGGTCTCTGAAGCTCTCCAGCCCATAGTCAGTGATCTTGAGCACAAAGCGCCCGTCCACCACGCAGTTGGATGACTTGAGGTTCCCATGGGAGCAAATGGCTCCATTGTGCAGGAACAGCATGCCCTGGGAAATTTGGGGAGGCAGGGTCTGGGTATGAGTGGGACCTACAGCCACAGCCAGAAGAGAAGCATGCGTGTCCCCTCCCTCACACGGCCAATAGGCTCTACTGTGCCTTACCTTGACGATGTCATTGGTGAGAGAGTACCGGAACATCCAGTCCAGGGTGATGCTCTCGTTTTCCAGAATGTCCTGCTGGCACAGTATAGTCAGAGCTGCACCCTGCAGACTCCCGGAGAAGGAGGGGTGCAGGGGTCCTACCACCACAAACTGGCGGAACAGGACAATGTTTTGGATTTATTCTAATGCCACCACCCTTCCTCCACTTCTGTTTTATACACGGGGCAAATAAAGAGCAGAAAGCGGGGAAGGCCGGCTGGGGTCATGTAGCTAGTTAGCTGCAGAGCTAGACCCTGGCTTCCTGACCCCTTTGTCTGCTCACCTGTAGGCTCCCTCGGGGACAGTATTCCGTGAGGATACAGATGTTGGGGGGGTCAGTGCAGGCACCCACAAACCTGGTCAGGTGTTCATTCTGTACATCTCGCATCTGCAGATAGGTGCCATCATCAGACCTCACTTCTCACCAAATGGCCCATCCTCAAGGCCTTCACTTCTAAACTCCCCACTCATTCTCTGCAGATATTCTAGGACCTTCGCTGGTGATTCCCACCATGTTCTTTATCCCCATCTCCCCCAGAATCTGCTCCCCAATCTCTCTGCCTCCTAAGCCCTCCAGCCCCTAAGGACATCAAACATGCCCCCTTGGGGACCTTCCTCCAGGATATGTCCAGTGTCTGATCTCCCGTCCATAAATCCCACCCACAAGAGTCCATAACGAGTTCTGTGTCCCCCACCCTGGCACCCTTCCTCAGGCCCCCGCCTCATGCCCCACATTACATGCTTCAGTTCAAACAGGACTTTTCGTGTCAGTTCAATGCGTTTTCGGTTCAGATGCTTCACAGCCACGAGGTTGCCCTGGGCAAGGCATGGAGACAGTCACTGTGAGGAGATGACCGGTGTCCCTGGAACCCAACTACTTCTGCCAGCCCCACCCCCAAGGACCCTGACAGAGTACACCCCTGCCCAGTGCAGAGGTCAGCAGTCTCTCCCCAGTCCCACCTTGTAATACGCTGTCTTGGCAAAGACTTGGAACTGGCCTTCTGTGGTGAGCAGGGAACCATAGTTGGAGCCTTTCTGCAGGGAGGGAGAACGGAGTGGGGACCAGCCCGCACAGCTCTCCACAGGGCTGCTTGAGCTCCCACCTTCATGAGCCTGCCTCGCCTTTGTCACTCTATTTCTCATCCCACACTCATTTAAAACATGAAATCCTCTCCTTGATGTTGAAAAATGTATTTTCACATATGCTATCTTTTTTTTTAAGATTTATTTATTATGTATGCATACAGACCTGGGGTACAGGCCAGAGAAGCAGGGGTGGTGTGAAGATTCACCAGAGACAGAGTGGGGAGCAGGACAGGCAGATCTACAAAGTGCACTGCTGAGGGGAGCAGCAGGCAGGTCAGGAGAGGTCTGCCACGCCATGTGGGTCACCTCCCGGGGTGGGGATCAAACTTGTACCAAAGTGGCTATGCTTTAACCCAGTGTGCCACCAGGGAGGACCCTCACATATACTATCTTTGAAAGAGCCTTGTGAGGGAGGCTCTGTGGATGTAGTCTTTAGCTGAGGTAGTCTCAAAGAGGGAATCTGACCCATGTGAAGCCATACGGCAAGTGAAGACAGAGCTGGGACCAGAACCTTGCTCATACCTTTCCCGTGGGGCTCTGTCTGCACCCTCCCCCCGACCCGTGCCCAGCCCCGTCTCCTTACCCCACTCAGGGTCAGCCGGCTGCCTGCACTCCGGAGATGCCTCTCCAGGCTGCTGGGCTGCACATCCTCCCATCGCACCCGCCACAGCTCTGAGGCCAGTTCCTTCTCCAGCTGCATCTTCCTGGGCATGAAACCTGGATCTGAGTCCATGTCTGAGCCCCTGACTGGGGGCCTTGGGGCCACTGCCTGTGCTAAGGATGCCCACTAACGCCACAGAGGGTGGGAGACCTCTGTCCTCTGGGCTTGGTGAGATTCTGCCTCACTGGGGACCTTGGGTTAGTCACTTCACTGAGTTTCATGTCCTGTCCAAATGTCCTCATTGGACATTGGAGACCTCAATATTTATTTCAAAATCGTGTTAAAAGAATGAAAATGTGAGTTGGTGATGGGAAGCCCATGGGGATTACAACGGAGATGAAAAAGGCACAAAATGATGTAAAAATAAACTATTATATTAAGAAAAAAGAATGAAAATGTGTGTTAATGACTGGTGTACAGTGTGTGCTCAACCAGTATCAATTTTCTTCCATCCCTTCTTGCTTCACCCTCTGCACTTTCATTCCAACCTCCTCCAGAAGGCAGAAAGGGGGTTCCTTTGCAGCCTCCCCTTTGCTCAGGTTCTACCTGAGACACACAAGGTCAGCTGAAACATGGACCCAAAACCAAAGATTTTGAACCATTGCTTCCTACCTGATCCAAGAGTAGGGAGGGAGGATAACCATGGCGTCCTCATCCCTGATACCACTCCCCCAGCTCTCTTTCTGGCCCACCTTAGACCTTTCCCAGACGCCCCTATTCTGTGCCCCCTCTTCCTCTCTTTCCTATCTTGTAACATTTTCTAGCCACTCTCTCCCCTGCTGTCCCTCCACCCTCCCTCCTACCCTCTGGGTCCCTGCTACCTCCTCTGCTGTTGGCTCTCCAGATGTCCCCAGACTCACTCACCACCGTTAGCCCAAAGCTCACCTGTATATGAAGAAGGAGACGATTAGAATGCTGAGCAGAGACAGGCTGCCCACCAAAGCCAGCACCTCCAGGGTGGAAAAGTGGTCTGCAGGAGAGTCCAAGTTGCAACAAGAGATTTTGGTTAGATGTAACAGTAGGAAGAGCTTTCTGGTAGTCAATCAGTGAACCAGCATGATGGATGAGGAGAAGAAAAAGTCAGTTATTTCTCACAAAAGTCCACATTTGGGGGGAGGAAGACACAGTGTTTCCAGAACGGAGCCCAGGAAGGCTGGGGCAGTCACCTTGGTTGCAGGCTGGGTCCTCATTATCAAAGCCGCATTTGGGAATGTCAAGAGGTGGGTATCCCAGGGGCCAGTACAGTTTGCGCTCTGACATGGCCACCAGCTCTTGGGAAGTCCCGTTGTAGTTCAGAACAACCTATGGGAGGCAGGTGGGTGAGCAAATAAGGTCCTGGGGTGGTCTCCTCTCCAGTGGGGCAATCCTGTCTCTCATTGCTGCTTCCAGGGTCTGTATCTGGGCTGTCAAGTTTTTCCCAGTGCAACTGGACACAGAACTCTCACAGCCGTGCCCCATGTTATTAAAATAGAAAAATTTACAACTACTCAAGAACTTTATGTATTGGGTTGAAGAAAATGGACAGCAAGAAAAGTCAGTGTTCCCAGTTCATATACCTGGGCTTAATTTGTACCCTCTCCTCCAGGAAGCCTTCCCTGGATGATCTGCTTAGCAGCTATGGCCTCAGTCCTTTCCTGTTTCTGATGTACTCTGGCATGTGTGATATGCATTTACGTTGACTGTGAATTTGTCTGTCTCTGCTAGGACAGGAGTCCTTCTACCTCAGGAGATACAGGGCTTCTTCAGGACAGGGCAGTGCACCTTTCTCTAAAATGGGGTTTCCCAAAGGTGAGGCCTGTGAGCCCCTATCATTCTGGTTGCTCCATCAGACCACAGCTGGGTCTCTTGTCAGGGCTTTTCATGAGTGGCCATGGTAGGGGACTACTAACAGGTACCCTGGCGTGGCCTTGGGGGGAGATGGGAGGGTAAGATGTCATTCCTGCTTGGCATTGTCTACTGGGACACATCCTTACCCTGAAGGCACCAGTCTCAGGCTCCATATCCCAGAGAGAGAAGTCAGTCTCCCTGTCTCCATTGCTGTCTATCTTCAAGTGTCCTGTCACTCCTGTGGACATGGAAGAAGATGGCTGTGTTCTGAGCTCCCAACCTCATGTCCATCCCTTGATCTCCTCCTTCAAACATATGTAATGTATGTAATATTTTATGTAGTTATATATAATATATGATATATAACTTTAATATATCAAAGGGACAAAATTTCAGCAGTAGAAATGATTGGGGATTGGGATTGGACACTCAGGAACTAGGGAGACAGGAGAAGGAAAGCCTACAGGAAATTATGAAGGCCTCTTATGAGGATAGCGTGTGGGCAAATGACCCCTGTGCTACAGGGCTAGCGGCCTCCTGCTTGGGACACCACAAGAAATTCCATTCTGGCCTCTTCCAGGTACTTACCTTGAAAGCTTCGATTCCACATTCGCTGAGTGATGCTCTCCCCATCAGTGACAGTGCCCCCATGTGCCAGGGTTTCTGCCACTGCCTGGACATAGAGCAGGAGCCCATCGTGAAAGGATGCGGGAATGGTGTTCACCTGCAGGTCAAGCAGAAAGTGACTAGGAGATGTAGGAAGGGCACAGAGCAGGCATGAGGGGAAGGGAATGGGGGACAGAGGGAGCTAGGAGGGTGGGAGAAGATACACCTGCACAACAAAGAGATTTTCCTGTGTATAAGATGACACCGTTTCTGACTCCTCCTTGGCAGACAGGACATATCATCCCCATTTTACTGATAAGCACCTGGTAAGAGTCCTGATGTAAACAATACATCAGGAGAGATAGGGGACAAAGCAGAGGGAACAACAGAAGTCGTGGAATGGGGACTGGAGATCCACGCTGGAGGCCCCCCTTCCTACCAGGCCGTCCTCCACAGTGAAGTTGAACTGTTCTTGGGCCAAGTGTTTTAGCTGCTTCAGGAATTCCAAGTACTCAGGATTCTCGGGCTCTTTATATGTAATGATTTTGGCGGCCTGAGGAAGGGGTAGTGGAGAGGGGAGAGCTGGTTGCTAACTCTGGTCCTCCCAGCATCCTGGATCCAGGATCCACTTCCCAGATTGGCATCCCGGCTTAACTCAAGGTCAAACTGGACCAGGCCTGTGCCTGGTGGCGTCTGCTCTATGTACGGAGCCAGGATGGTGACTTTCCAAGTCTGTTAGTTAGCAAGAACAAGCTCCCTCCTGCAGTTCATTCTCTCATCTTTTTAGTCTCTTGCCTTTAAAGTCCCCTGTCCCTCTATGCCCCCTGCTCCAGCCCCCTGCCCTTGATCACCTAACTCCCTGTGAGTATACAGAACCTCTTTTCTGGATCCTTTTGGACACAGAGGGACCCAGTGCTCAGAAAATATGTTCCACCAGCTAAAAGTCCACAACCTGGACATTCAGACTGGATACTCACCTGAAAGGCCTGATGGGCACTGACATCCTGTCCATCCCCTCTTTCCCAGGGTCTGCGGGGGGCAAGGCCGTGTGCACCTTGCAGGCTTTGCCCAAAGAGGTCCAGGTGGAAGAACACATAGTCTGCCCCACTCAGGCCAGCTTCCAGGGCCAGGAGCATCAGGGTTCGGAAGGCATCTGGGGAGCTGCAGATGTAGATAACTGGGGCAGAAGGGGAGTCAGAGAGAGAGAGAAGACTAGATGGCAGGGGAATGGGAATGGGAAGGAGGGTGGGAAGCTATGGTATTTGGGGGAGGAAGATCTGAGACCTGGTACTTAGAGTGGAACTGGCTAGGTCTATGCTGTGGCCAGAGGAAGAGAAGAGGAGGTGGGAGGAGTAGGAGGTGAGCAGAAGTAGGGAGAGTGGGGATAGCAGAGTGGCAGGTGGGGAAGGTGGGGGGTCGGCAGGGGAGGAAAGAAGGGGCCAATTGGAGAGGACCCTGAAGAGGAGAGTGTGGTGGAGGGGAGAAGGCTTTGGGAAGAGCGAGAAAATGGGTTGGAGAAGAAGAAAGCTGAGGACAAAGCTAGAGACCTACTAAATGTCAGGGTGGCAGGGGGCATTGTCTCCGTCCTTTTAATTTTCTCTTTAAGATTTATTTATTTATGTACACAAGAGCTGGGCTACAGGCCAGAGGCAGGGGTTGGCTGGGAGAGGATTCACCAGAGGCAGAGTAGGGAGCAGAACAGGCAGACCCACTGAAATGATAGGGGGGGGGGAGGGGGGCAGTGTATTTCAACCAGAGAGAGAGAGAGGAATGGTCTGCTATGCCCTGTGGGTCACCTTGCCATCCCAGATCTCCGTGCCGGGGTGGCTGGGGATTGCTTCACAGTGCTGAGACTTTACCCCTTGAGCCACCAAGGAGGCCCCTTGTCTCCCCGCTTCTGCCTCCCCCCTAACACCGGGGGAACCAGTGGGAAATAGAGCTGAAATTGGAGGGGGAGGGGGCAGGAGTGGAGGGGAGAGGAGTCGAGAAAGTAAGGGGAACGGAAACTCAGGTAGAAAGAGGTTAAGGCAGGATGGAGGAACCAGAGGAGGCGGACCGGGAGAACGGAGAAGGTCCCGGGCCTTGACCTGGTCGGAGAAGGCTTTGGGGCCAAGCGGCGGCCGCCTCTCACCTCGGCCTTTGCGCTGCACTGTCCGCAGCAGCCTGGTGTAGAGGTGGTGGTCTCCCTCGGCGAACTCCAGGTGGTCCACGGTGATGTTAAGGAGGTCGCGGACCCGCATGAACAAGCCCTCCACGACGAAGAAGCAGGGTTGATCGTCGCCGGGGCGGTAGGCGTACAGCACCAGCGCCTGGCGCTCCCAGCCCAGCCGTCGGTGCAGCGCCGCCACGAAGTCGCCGAGCTTGGCGTGGCTGGGCCCCGCGCGGGTGGTCAGCGCGTACTCGTCCTTGGCTCCGAAGCCCAGCGCCGGGGCGCCGGCGGTCAGCAGCGGCACCCGCCAGTGCGCGGTGAAGCGTCCCACCGGGGCGGCCGCGTAGACGCAGCCCGGGCCCAGGAACACCGCCGGGTTGTGCTCCCACTTGAGGTCCACCGCGGCCAGGGGTGCAGCGGTGTCGGAGCAGACGCCTAACGCGTTCTCGCTGCTGCCCAGCACGGTGCGCACTGTCCAGCCAGGCAGCAGGTCGGGCCGTCCCCTCACCGCGGCCAGGGCTAGCTCCACCGCCGGCCCCACGCGCGCCCACGACCACGGGTACGAGGTGTTCGCCAGAGGCAGCACCACGGCCACCGTCAGGTTGTCCGCTTGGCTGCCGGGGAGCAGCAGCAGCAGCGGCGGCAGGAGCAGGAGTCGGAGCTGGCGGGCGCCGGCTGGGCGCCCCGGGCGCGGCATGGCCTCAGCGGGCACCGCGGCGGGTACGCTCTGGTACCATGGTCTTCTCGGCGACCGGTCCCGGGCAGCCGGCGCACCCCGGCGGGAAGAAGAAGCAGCGGGGCAGGGGGCGAGTCCCGCGGTGGGGGGGAGGGATGCAGCCCCCCTAGCTGCGACGGTCAGAGCCTGAAGCGCAAGGGGAGCGCGAGGGAGGGCTGCGCCTGGGGCGCAGAGGTGCAGGTGGGCACGAAATAAAGGTCGCCCGAGCCTAGAGTCTCCGACTGGCGTACGCGAGGGGTGGGGGGAGGGGAGGGAAGGGGCGGGTAGGGAGGGAAAGAGAGAGGGAGAGAGAGATGGGGGGGGTCCCGACCTAGCTCTGGAGAAAGGATGGGAAAGGGCGCGAGGGAGGGAACGGGGAGTGTGAGAGCTAGCGTGCGGGAGCGCCTGCCCCAGGGAGTGTGCCAGAAGGGGCGTCCGGCCGGCCTAGTCTTTGGACTCTCCGGAGGTGGGGAGGGGTGGGGGCTGGGGAGGACCGGAGTGGAGCTCTGAACCCTCCCTCCCGGCTCCGTGACCCAGAGCCAATCCTGGATCTTTAACTCCTACCTCACCGCCCCGAAGTCTTGGACTCACCTCACCGCTTTCCTCATGGATCTTCAACTCGCTTTTTTTCTCCTGGGAGAAGCTGCACCCACCGAGGGGGCTTCCCCACAGTGGCGAGAAGGAGAACTGACGAGATCTGTACCAGCTAGCAAATCCGGGAGGGGGGGGGGGGAGAGAAGGGGCGGGGGCATCTTGTCCCCCACCTCCAACCTGGTTACATCCTCTGTATGTGGTATGTGTGTGTGTGTGTGTGTGAGTGTGAGTGTGTGTGTGAGAAAGAGAGGACTGATTTGGGATCTTGGCAGGCAAAGGTGTGAGAATGTGGATGTGCGATGTGTGTGTCTGGGGTTGGGCAGGAGGGTGACGGCTTTCTGGAAAAAGCGTCAAAGTAGGTGAGCTCATGGTCTCTAAGGCCTAGTTCTTCTCAGATTCCTCCCGGTCGAGCCCACACTCTGAGGGTGCGGATCCGCGGAGGGAGAGGACCTAGTGGAGTGAGGGGTTATTAACTCTTTAGTACCCCAAAGACTGAAGGAAGAGAGAAAGTGTGTGTGTGGGGGGGGGGGTTGGAGGAGGTGTGATCATGACCGCTCCCAGAATGTTGAGTGTTTGTTCTGCGTGGAGGATTGTTATAGTGGCGGTGGGAGACGTTAGGGTTGGAGTTGAAAACTGGGGAGGGTTTTGGAAGCACTAGACGGCTGGAAAGGCTGTCTTAAACGCGGTGGAATCAGTCTGCCCTCTAATGGTCGGCAGGCGTCATCGACCGTGTTGCGCAGGCCCCCTCACCTCTCCAGTTCCGGAGGGTGGGCAAACTGCTTCCCTTCTGCAGATACATCCTACTTTAAAAGCAAGGGCATCAAGATGAATACGTTGGAGGAGCCCCATTGGAGACAAATAGCCATAATAAGAACTGCAACGGAAAAGTGGGTAATGTGCTAAGAAGCCCCGATTCTGGCTGCACTGAGGCCAGGACATTTCAAAGAGAGAGAATTCAAAAAGAGTAGAAGCATGAAAAAAGTATTCTGGGACGAGAGCACAAAGCATGAAATGTGTCTCCTTTATGGAAAATTTTAGGAGAATTTTAAATATTCTTGTGGTCTTGAGCAAGTGGTAGTCATGGACCTACTTTAGATGGCAGCTGTGTTTTGTTTGACTTGCATTCTTTCTATATAGATTTGATTTAATTGCCCACACAAGTAAGGCACATAAATATTTAGATATATGACTTTCCTTAAAATATTGGAGAGATGGCAATGTAGAACCTTCCCCTCTTTATGAACAGTCTGTTGTGACCTAGTATTCCTTAACTCCTTGGTATTTTCCAGCTTCATCCATGTTGCTGCAAAAGGCATGTGTCTATATTTGGTTGTTGAGTGTCTATTGTGTATATGTATCACATCTTTTTAATCCAGTCATCCACTTTTGGGCATTTGGGTTGTTTCCATGTCTTTCCAATTGTAAATAAAGCAGCAATAAACATGGGGGTGCAGGTATCTTTTTGAATCAGTGTTTTTGTGTCTTTTGGTTAGATACCTAGGAGTGGGGTTGCTGGGTCATATGGAAGCTCCATGTTTAGCAGTTTGAGAAACCTCCAAACAGTTTTCCATAGTGGTTGTACTAGTTTGCATTCCCACCAGCGGTGCAGGAAAGTTCCTTTTTCCCCACATCCTCACCAACATTTGTTGTTGCTAGTTATTTTAAGATGTGTCATTCTCACTGGTGTGAGGTGGTATCTCATTGTGGTTTTAATTTGTATCTCCCTTATTACAAATGATGTTGAACTTTTTTTTTTCATATGCTTGTTGGTCATCTGCATTTCCTCTTTGGAGAATTGCTTTTTTTAGCTCTTCTGCCCATTTTTTGATGGAGTTGTTTACTCCTTAACTCCTTGAAATGAATCTAGTTCATATGGTTCCAACCCACTTTGATCACTCATTTGCATTACCAGCCTGACGTAGTAAGATTTTGTGTTTTCAATGCTGATCTAGGATGTAAAGTGTATGTATGAAGAAATGACTGAGGAGGGGAGGCAAGCAAGTCAACTGAGAGCAGATCATGCAAGCTTTTGTGTAACTGTCTTTGTCCTGTAAAGGTGGCTTCGGAGATTATAGTGGTAGATAACAGATGGATAGACTTTTTTTTTATGATTTATTTATTTATGCACACAAGAGCTGGGGTACAGGCCAGAGATCAGGGTGAGAGAATTATCTAGAGACAGAGACAGAGTAGGGAGTAGAATAGGCAGAGCTACTGAAAAAACACTGCTGAGGGGAGCAGCAGGTGAGACAGGAGAGGTCTGCCAGGCCATGTAGGTCACCTCCCTGGCCTTGGCTTGAACGTGTGCTGCAGTGGCCATGGATAGCTTCATTGTGCTGCATCTTAACCCCTTGTGCCACCAAGAAGGACCCTGGGTAGACTTTTAAGAACAGTTTTATTGTATTTATAGTTTATATACTATAAACTGATGAGTTTGGATCTATGTATACATCTGTAAAACCATCATTACAGTAATAAAATAATAGACATACCTGTTAACTCCAAGTGTGCAAATGTTCCCCTGTGTCCTTGTGTGTTTGATAAGAACATTTAACACAAGATCTATTCTCTCAACAAATCTTTAAGTACATAACTCAAAATTATTTACTATAAAGAGATGTTTTATAAGTACAATAAGTACATAACTCAAAATTATTTACTATAAAGAGATGTTTTATAAGTAGAATCTTTAAGTACATAACTCAAAATTATTTACTATAAAGAGATGT